TCCACGATGTAGTGAGCCCCCGGTGGCGGCACTTCCTATGCCGCAGCGCTCAAAAGGTGGCACCAGATCCCGTAGCAATAAGTCGGTTCGCGCAGCCGCCACCGTAGCGCGGCGATCGGTCGTGGGACACCCCCTCCCTTCCCCTCCGCTGTCCCCTCGCCTTTGTCCCGCCCCGCGCCATCCAGGTAACCAGGTACCCGACGACAGAGACGACGGGATTAACCCATGTTTTCCCGGCAACCTGGACGTCGCGCGGCTGGACACAGGCGAGGGGACAGCGGAGGGGAAGGGAGGGGGTGTCCCACGACCGATCGCCGCGCTGCGGTGGCGGCCGCGGGAACCGACTTATTGCTACGGGATCTGGTGCCATTTTCTGCGCCGGAGCGCCGCCACCGGGGGGCTCACTACATCGTGGTCTTCTCAAAACGATTGAAGTACGTCCCAACGGTATATTGCAATTAATATTTTGGGAGCGGTGACGTGGCGCGTGATACGCCTCTGTAGTCTGTGCTACCTGGCGGGTCACATAATCCCCTAGCCGAGGGTCCGCTGCGGTCCGGCACTGGGCTGTCGAGTGACTCGGGAACAGTAGAGCGTCTCCCGTAGCACGTCTCAGTGGTCTAGTGGTTAGCCTGCTGAGCTCGCAACGCAGTCGTCCGAGGTTCAACTCCCGCCGGAAAAAAGGTATTTGGTAATTCACTTTAATGCTTACTTCGTTCTATATACTACACGGTACGGTAGGAAGAGAAGGGGAAGAGAGAAGGGGCCAAATCATCAGTGTATAGGAAATACAGGCAAACCTTTTCCCCTTGCATGTTTATAGTATCATTTTTACAGAACCGACCTGTAAATTAACTTTACCCGTAAAATGTGAAAACATAATTTACCGTATAAGTAGCGGAATGTATTTTACACGTTTTCTGTAATTTCACAGACTATGGTAATTTTACATGAAAAGTCTTGGCACTAACTATGCCCAGACTTTTCATGTAAAATCTCTCCTTAAATTTTTAACAGTGCACTCGAGCCTGGGCACGTTTCATATTCACTGTCATATAATGCACGAATAAACATGAAAACGTACCTCCCTCATACCACAGTGCCGACCCATATCGGAAAGGGGAGGGGGGGGGTCACATTTGTATTCAAAACCCGTACCGTGTCCTATCCTATATGGTGC